CTCTCTCTCTCTCTCTCTCTCTCTGTATCTCTCTCCTCCAGTGGTGGGTTTCAAAAATTTTGGGAACCTCTTCTGTAGGTGTGGCCTGCTTTCTGGGTCCACTGGTGGAACCTCTTCTAACCGGTTTGGTAGATTTGACAAACCGGTTCTACCGAATAGGTGCGAACTGGTAGGAACCCACCTCTGGATACAGGTAACCCTTGGAGGTATAAACCAGTAGGATTATATCAAGCAATTGTCCCAAGACATGGTACAGAGTTTAATTTTAGCAATATCTCAGTGTAAGGCAAAATAGTGAGTTACTATTATCATTTAGTCTGTAATCAAAACTAGGAGGAAAATGTAATTTCAAAGGATGAGAAGAAATCTCCCTACTGAGTAGCCTTTAATATGATTCTGTTTCTCCTTTGCCAGGCATATGTGAACATGGCATTATTTGAGAACTTCACTTATGCAGGAATTGATGCAACGGCTGAGGAAGCATGAGGACTTAACTTTCAACTTTGGCAATAATTATAGCCCAGATGATTGGGACTTTCTTGTGCATTTGCCTCCTAGTGATGTCAACAACTTATTCAACAGTGTATAGGTGGATGCTGTTAATTTAGAAGATCTTGCAGGACTCTAACATGTTAACTTTCCCTAGAGTGGAGAAGAGTACCCTTGAATGGATTGTTCCAAAATGTGGAGCTTTTGAAAATCAAACTTTAAAGGTATTTCCTGTATAAGAGAGATGCCCCTCACTCCAAGGGAGAACATTGTCTCCACCATACTGAAGAAAAAAGATCTAAGAAGTTTGGGACCCAGTCAAGGACACTGTGATTACAATGCACACCATACAAGAAAAGATAGGCTTATATTACTGCAAAATTCCTTGGACAGTATTACTGAAAAGGTGGGGCTGTTGGCTAACAGTGCAATTCCTTCCAGAACCCAGTTTTCCAAGGAATAACGTCTATCCATCATGATCAGTTTCGTCAGCCCCTCAACTAGTTCAGATCAGGAAAGCAACTCCACAGGAAAACTAAAGCTACTTTTATTGAGACTGACTATAATTACAGAATCTTGTGAGTCTGATTGTATTGTATCTCACTGTCAGATTTGCCATCATGCCACTTTGGGCTCTGCTTCACTTCAATGGCAGCCTATCATAACAGGAAGCAAAAATGCCAACCAGAGACAACAGTTGCATGGTCCAAGGACACAGGCATGAGAAAGGAATATGAATGCCCACCAAAGAGACGCCAAACTGTAGAACTGTTAACAAAACAACTAATTGGAACTTTGTTGGACACTAGCAGGATGCCCCAAGGGGGGGACCTGGGAGAAGGGAAATTTACCAGGTTTATGCAGGAACTTTCAGATCTGTCTTTTCCTATGCTGTAACCACTTGGCTTTAATAGTATGCCTTTCACTATGAATGGCATTGAGGGTCTTTTTTTCCTAAACACCTTTCTTTCCTAAACAATCTGGGAGAGGCTGACACTCACCATGAATTTAGGAGGTATCTGCCTGAGCTGTTTCCAAATGTTTTCCCCTCACTCTTGACTTTAAAAAAATGGTTCAACCCTTTTTGCCTAGGTCAGTGATGGCAAATCTTTTTTCCCTCAGGTGCCAAATGCTATAGTGCATGCGTGAGTGTGTGCTGACGCCCCTAATTCAATGCCCCGCTGAAGGCCCCACCCACCCCCATGCATTGGCGCAACCCCCACCCCACCCCCCATGCATGGGTGCGCGATCCTCCACCCCCATCCATGCATGAGTGTCTCCCAGCAGAGACCCCAAAATCAGCCGGTGAGCGGCACGCACATATGCACAGTGGGACTGACCTGGGCAACGGCTCATGTGCCCGCAGAGATGGCTCCACGTGCCACCTGTGGCACACGTGTGATAGGTTCGCCATTACGGGCCTAGTAATGGTTCCTGCATATCAGGAATGCATACCCTGCCTTAAGTCAACTTGCTTACTCTCTTTTTCTCATTTCATTTCTAAACCACAAACTCCCAGAAAATTAAGGAATTACACAGGAATCTCTTTCTAATATGTTAACCAGACCTCAAAATAATCTTATGCCTCTTTGGAATGATATTAAAAATACTTATTAAGATAGGACAAATTGCAACTATCATTATAGGATAGAATCTCTGTAATTAAGATGAATGTTTTACCAAAGATGCTTTTTTTGTTTCATGACTTTATCAATGCCTGTAACTGATACTTCAGGTAAACAATGGCAGATAGATATCTCTAAGTTTATATGGCAAGGGAAATAACCAAGAATTAGATACAGACTATTGCAAGACGCTTAAGGAAGGAGGAGGTTTGGGCTTACCAGATTTGAAATGGTATTTGATGCTTGTTGTTTGATCTGACTAAAAGAGTGGATGACTCTCCAAAATAAAAGGTTACTCAAGCTAGAGGAATTTAATTTTGGATGGCACAGCCATTTATGGTATGATAAAGTTAAAATAAATGTTAATTTTAACAATCACATTGTTAGACATGCAACCCTAAGAGTTTGGAATAAATACTGTATATACTCGAGTATA